TCACTGCCCTGGATCTCCCTGGATCCCGAGGAGGGTCAGGGGTGCTGAGGCAGAAAGTCACACTGCCTGCCTTGTCTGGGGGAGAGGCGGCGTCTGAGGAGGTGTAAGGGAGTCGACTCAAGGCTGGGAAAAGAGTTTCGGTTTTAATCCAGACTCCAAGAAGCTCACAGCTACAGAAAATCCAGCAGCCAAAAGTGGTTTGGAGGCTTTTCCAACATCTTAAATACCGGGGCGGTAACAAGGGGAAGGGAACGCCCATTGACCAATGGAGAAATTTGGGGGAGTGGAAGGTGAAAGGACAGACAGATACAAAAACCAATGGGGAAACTTAAGGGAGGGACCCCGGGCCCTCATCCAATCCCTCGAGGCCCAGGGTAGAAGATTCGGGAAGAATGGGATGGAGAGAGATGGGTACCAGGGAGGGAGGATGAAGTGTCTGAGCATTGTCAGGGAGATTGGCACTGAGGGAACCGCAGGAAAACTCAGCGTGGAAACATTGGGAGAAAATGGGGGTGGAGGGGCAAACCATTACAGAACTGTTACCAAAATATAAAGACACAATACACCACCACCCAAACCACCTCCCTCCCTGGGAACAGAGTAACTTTCATGAGGCATATCTGCAAGAAGGGACGGAGGGTGGATCTGGGGAACTACTTGCCCTCAGTATGACCTCAGTGCCAGGGAGGGAACTATGGAACAGATCATCTGAGTGACATCACCTGACAGGGACAGGACAAGGGCATCAGACCCAGCCAGCAAGGATTCATGGAAGGCAGGTCCTGCTTGACCAACCTGATCTCCTTCTATGACAAGGTGACCCACTTAGGGAGGCACGAAAGGCTGTGATGTCTGCCTAGACATTAGCAAAGCCTTTGACACTGCATCCTTCACAGCATTCTCCTGGAAAAAACTGCGTGTTTGTGGCTTGGACATGTGCACTCTTCATTGGTTAAAAATCTGGCTGGATAAGAATGGTGGTGAGTAGAGTTAAATCTAGTTTAAAGTGGTGTTCCCCAGGGCCCAGTATTGGGGCCAGTATTTTCTGCCCAGTGGAACAGGACCTGGGGGCATTGGTTGGCAGACAGCTGAGTTATCATCCCTGGAAGGATTTAAAAGACTGGTAGGTGTGGGACTTGTGGATATGGATTAATGGTGGACTTGGCAGTGCTGGGCTAGTGGTTGGACTCAATGATCTTAAAGAATTTTCCAACCTAAACAATTCTATGGCTCTATAAAGGGAATTGCTTGCATGGCTGAGTCCACTGCTATAAGCAGGGTGCTCCAAATTCTTGCACCTTCACTTCGCTCAAGATCTATGTAGAAAATGATTGGTTAAACTAGGAAAAAAAAAATCCCCTTTGGCTTTCTAGCAGCTACTCTGAATCTTGGATAACATTTTTTTTTTTACAGCCTTTCCCCACTGACATTTACAGCTATGCCTGAGATGAGTAAATGATACGAAGGTACGTAAAACTTGCTGAACATCAAATGTTTTGTACTGGAAATGATATCTGGTTTCTGCAGCTTATCTATCTGATTTCTTGATTTCACTTTTTTTTCTAGGCAAGTTTAGGTCTCATCTGTATAGAAACAGCAAGGGGAAACCAGGCCTTAGTTCTCAGTCTCAGCAGAGCCTTTTTCAGAAGCTCCCATAAATATCCTTTTAAAATGAAGGAATATCAAACCTGTAGTCTGGGAAGTAAATCCTGAGTGTCTCTCCAAGTGATCCTGTGTTAGGATCACTTATAGTTCAGTTTTATTTTTCTATTAATTCCTTGGCAGATGATTCTAACACAAATCAATAAAATAAAAAAATAAACCAAACATATTAGGAGATGGTTCTTCTCTGTAGATGAAACAACCACCTCCACCTTCTGTTTTGAATAAATTCAGATTTCAACTGCAGTGGCCTGGCTTATTTCCAGTTCACAGTTATTGTATTCCACTTACCTGAAATTCTCCCTTTCATGCAACTCTGATGAAATGTTTGTCATCTCTCAACTGCCTGCAAGGGCTGCAAAGTGCTTCATGAGCAAGAGTGCTTACATAGGGACAAGTAAAGTGATTTCTTTATAGGTAGTGATAAAATTTTCAAGAGCATCCTCCACTGGTGCAAATCTGTTTTTCTGGAAGAAGCATGAAATTTCTACAGATTCCGGTGGGAACTGAATTATGCAGACATGGATTCTTTTATACATCCTAGTTCTCCCCCAGCATATTCTGTATTGAAACATTGAAGCCATTTACATGAAAGCTTGGCTGGAAAGACAAAATTTAAGCACAAGAATAAAAATTAAGAAGAATTGTCAAAGTTGGTATTTAATTCAATTAAATCAGTGAGAGTATGTAATAAAGGAAATTTTATTTTCACCATGATGGTTTGTTTCTATTTTCCTTTGATGCCATATTTTGCCTAAAGTTCTTCTGGAAGAGAAGTAGCTTGAAGTGTCCTGTGAAAGTAAAGGAGCAGGGAAGTGAAGTCAAAAATGCTCCTTGTATTTCAAGTAGAGCTTCAGTACAGCTGTTTGGCAGGCACTGTAATTTCTGGATTTCAAGGCTCAGATGCTGCTTTTGTAAGCTTATCTCCTCTATTGCTCCAAAACAGCAGCAAACCCTAACACCTTCCTATCCAGATACAATGCACTACTAGCTGAATCCAGCCCAGAAGCTCCTGTGAGATGCTTGTGTCTTCTGAATGTGCTAATCTCAGGTGAGGGGTCGGAAAGTAGAAGCCACATTCCTCTTTATTCCAGCAGCAATTTAATGACCAGAAGAGTCTTCTTAACCCTGTATCCACAGGATGTTTTAATATTTTTTTTTATATTGCATTATTCAGGTACTTTTCAATCCTACAACAAAGTAAGAAATGGCATAAATATGAAGTGACATCCCATAAACCCGTATTTTTTTAGAGTGGCAGTTTGGGATCATGCTCATGGTTTGTTTTCCAGTAGGACAGTGGCAAGAGGAACTCAATTAAGAGTAAGAAATTAAATAACTGCAAGTATCCTATTCATCAAAAGACTAAGGACCTTCTGCAGATAGAAGAACAAACTCAAAATCGTTCTCCAAATGATATAAGAAGCTGACAAATAAGAAAAGGTTCATTAATCATTGTGGTCTAGCCTCATTTAACGGGAAGAGGCCAGGGGGCTTTGCTAACACATGAAACTAACTCAAAAGTGACATATTTTTCAGTTTTTGTGGATGTATCTACACCTCCTGGTTTATTTTGGAGGATGGGGTTACAGTTATAAATTCTTGAACATCTTGCTTCTGATCTGAAGCAATATCTAAAATAGGATGCACACCAAAAGGCAAACAAAATTAATGTATTTTTAAAATTAGATATCCTGTCCAATAAAAGGCAGAACTTTTATGTTATTTATAGCTGCAAGTTGTCTTGATTTACAGTTCAGATACAATTAACAGTTTCATTTCAAATAATTCTTTTTCCTCATAAGTTAATATCTGAATCACACACTGGAAAAAAGCAACTGCAGACACTTCTCTAAACCCAGTTGCAGAGAGTGATACAAAAAATTAAGAGAAAAGCCTTGCTTTGTCCTGTTTTTCTAATAAAATTTTTTTTTTTTTTTTCCCCAAGAAACCTTCAAACACCTAAAGGCCTCCATCAAATAGGATTTACACATTTACCTTTTTTCCAAACTGCCTCATGCAAGATTGTTGGGACGGTTACCCAGGGCTTTGCAGAACAGAGACCTTTGGCATCTACCCTGCCTACGTGGTGCTACCTGCCCCTATCCCACATATACCCACGCCAAATCATTCTTCTTCCCATCCTGAACTCAAAAGCAATAGAAAACCTGAACCCTTGGTCCCAGTTCAATGGCTGGCACTGGTGCTATCTGGCAGCACTGCTCCTCTAATGGTTAGAAGCCAAGCAAATATGTATTTAACGGGAATTATGAAAATTGAAAATTGCAAAGCCCAAGTGTTTGAAAAACACATTCTTCCTCCACATCAAAGGGCTCGTTGATTTGTTGCTGAACTCATGACCAAAGTGGTGCTAAGAGGGTGAAAAGGGGAGAAAAGATCAAATCTAATCTTTGGAGCTGTGTCAAGCAAGTACCTTATGGCCCATCTGAAGCTGATCATGAGACAAGTCCTGAATGTAAATATTATTTAATATGTCTGGCAAACGTTAGGAATCTGTCTGAGCATATTCTTCAAGTGAGAAATAGCTCTCCTTTTCCTTTGCTCCCTTTCCTGTGTCCTTGAACTTTGCATCCCTTGAAATCCCAAGTAACTATTCACATTAATAAAGTGTTAAGGTGTTTCACCAAGATTGGCTCTGCTGATTTCAGTACTTAAAAAGGGAAACCGCTCTGTTGTTTTAACCACTTCAACACTCACCATCTCAGTTTATTTTCTTATCCTTCTTAACTTCTGTTAAAATCAAACAGGAAGCAATTAAGGTGAGCCTACTACAAAGCAGCCCTCAAGTACATGGCTAAGTCCCTAGTGCAGAATGAAGGTCATGCCCTGAAAATGTAATTATATGTATGTGGAAGGAATGCAGAGCCTACATGCTGGGGTGATCAGTGAGAAAATACACCACTCCAGCTTTACTTTCATCAGGCAGATGACCATGGCCAACACGGGCATTGCTACCACACCTGCATGAAGGACCTGGTGGCAAAGCAAGTTGAATTGACAGGGCACATTAGACCAACAGTTTTATCCAGTTGAATTAAGAGATGGCGTGGAAGCAAGAAATGAGTCCCTACTAAGCTGCAAAACTATGACCCATTTCCCTTCATCCGACCCACCCTTTGACTTCAGTCAGGTCACTGCCAGCATGACAGAAAAAGGAATGTCACGGAAACAGACATCTAATGACAACAGTGGGAGACAAAGTGAAGTCTTTACACAGGATTTAGCTAATTATATTTTGGGCAAATATTTATTTATCTAAAAACAAAATAAAAATAATTTTTAAAAGGAAAAAAGTACTTAAATAAAAAACAAAATTGTGAAATGTTATGGCACAGAAGTTCAAGACAAGTATAAATCCAGTTGCCACAACTGTTGCGTATTAATGTTGCACATTTTTCTATAAAGGCTTTATTAAAGGTATTTACATGGCAATATGATGTGTAAATATATACAGCAAACTGGGGACAACTTTTTCTTTTGGATTCTCGTATGAAAAAATGCCTTAAATACAAAATTTTAAAAGAAAAAAAAAAATCGAAGAGTTCATCCCCAAGCATGAACAATGTCCCATCATCCCTTATGTCCAAAGTATCAATTATGAGGCAGTTTTGAGGTTCTGGCCAAACCCTTGGGAGATTCAGCCAAGGTTGTGTAGTCTCAAGTTAAATCGCACAGCATGCAGTTGCAATAGATCCATACTCGATGGACTGAGTAGTTCATGAGAGATATTAGAATCATTAATATTTTACCATAGTTTCAGTCTAGTTTGCATTATTCTAAGTGATGCTCAAGAGTTCCTATGCACAACAGTTCCTTAGCTGCTCAAGTTTGTGTTTCAACTGTTCTCTCCTCCGCCTCAACTGCTCTTTCTCTGCAATCAGTCTGTGTTCCTCTGACTGGATGGAAAGAACGTACTCTGTCGCTTTTTTCAGGATAACAACCTTGGGAGCCTTTTCATTGTTGGCCACCTCGGGTATCTCGTCACGCAAGGCAAAGAAACTCAACTTCAGCTCATTTCTCCTCTGTCTCTCCAAGACGTTGTGTGTTCGCCTCTTGTCGTTCTCTTCCGAATCTGAAGTGCGTGGACTGGAGCATTTTCGGTTGTTGCTGATCTGTTTGAGTACTCTGCCACTGTCCAACCTTAGCCTTTTTGCAGCTGGGTATTCAACCTTGGTGGAGGGAGGAGCGGCATAATTGTGCTGATGAATATTGACGTGACACCGTTTGAGAACCAGCGGGCTTTGGTGGGGCTTACTGTGCTCTTCTGATGTCTCTGTGCTGCTGGACTCTGTGCTGGATTCATATTCATTTGCTTCAGCTAATGTAACAACATCAATTTCCTCATCTTCCTCTTGTTCTTCTTCTGCCATTAAAAAAAAAATTAAAAATTATAACTTGTATGAAGGCACTCTCAAGACTACTGTATGTAGAAGGAAGGCTACTCTGAGTTGCACAATGAGGAACCCAATGACAAACCCTTCTTAAATCTATTTGATGATGCTGGACACAGCTTTCCCCAAGAGACTTTCCTTTAAGGAAGCAGTGCTTCAAGTGCAATAGGACACATGGACTGCAGTCCAAACCCCGGCTCCCTGATTTCAAAAAGTTGTAACGATCTTGCGTAATGTCGAGTGCATGAAAGATAGTGGGAAAGTTTAACCTCGGTTGTCAGCAGTACAGCGCAATAAAGCTCCCAGACTCAAGCTGCCCTTAATTATGGATTTAGAAGGCTTTGGCCACGCCTTAAAAGAAAGCTTACTTAACACACATGGGTATTCAGAGACATTTTCTGAATCTCTCTTGATCTGGTTATTTGTGGAAAATAGGAGAGAGTTTGGCGGGGGTGGGGGGAAGAAAAATAGTTCAAAAAAAAGGAAAAAGGGAAGGTTGTACCGCTTTGGGTAGAAACTCACTTTCAAACTAGATTTACGAGGGAGCGGAACCCGCTGTCACATACCTAAGGAAGCATTTCTAAAACTTTCCCAGCCCCATTCACTCCCCTGCAGTCACTTTCACTAGCACCTCCCTGACTGCACATTCTCCCCGCGGCTCTCGGGCTGGAGTTAACTCCTTCCCGGCCCACGGGAGAAACCGGGAGCCAGCCTTATCGGGACCCCATGATGAAAGTTTATCCCTCCTACACTTTTATATTTTTCTCCCATCGCTTTACACTCCCTTATTCCCCGGAGGAAAAACTGGGCTGGTTTTCCAGGAAATAAGCCGGCTAGGACTCTCGGTGCCTCGCAAACGTGGCATTTAAAAAAAAAAAAAAACCGCATGCGGGGAGGGGGACAAAAGGGGGCTGAGGAGGGAGGCGGGGGTGTGCTGCCTTCCAGCTGCGCCCCGCGAACCGCGCGGGTTCCCACGCCCCCCCGGAGCACGCGTGGGTCCCACTCACCCGAGTCGCTGCTGGTGGTGGGCGGCGTGTCGTCGCCCAGCAGGGACGCGGGGCTGGCGCCGGGCGGCGCGGCCCGAGGGGCCCGCTCGCTCAGCGGGTAGGGGAACACCACCGAGGGGTCGATGCAGTCGGCGGCGGCGGCGCCCAGGTCGTGCAGGTAGAGGCTGGCGGAGGCGGCGGGGGACGCGGCCAGCCCGGGCGGCGCGGCCGGCGGCGCGGCGGGCGGCGGTCCGGGGCGGGCGGCGGGGCCCCCCTCTCGGCGGGCTGCCTGGTAGGACGCCAGCTTCTCCGAGACCACCTTCTCCAGCTTGGCGGCGGCCGAGAAGCCGCTCCACATGCAGTCCTGGATGATGATGGACTTGACGGTCTCGTCGTCCGGGTCGCAGATGAAGCTCTGGTTGACCATGTCCCCGCCGAGGAGTTCGGTCACAATCTCCAGCTGGTCAGCGGTGGAGGGGAAGCAGGAGGCGGCGGCCAGGCTGGAGCGGCGGCTGGGGGAGAGGGGCGGCGTGGGCAGCAGCTCAAACTTCTTCCATATGTCCTCGGACGGGGCGGGGGGCTGCAGCTCGCTGCCCCGCTGCTGCGCCGCCAGGTAGAAGTTCTCTTCCTCCTCCTCGAAGTAGAAGTAGGGCTGCACAGAGTCGTAATCGTAGTCGTAGTTCTTGCTGGAGAAGCCGGCGCTGAGCGGCATCGCGGCGGCTGGTGCCTGCGGGAGGGAGGGGGAGAGGGGCACCCGGGTGAGCCGTGGGGGTCGGCTCCGCCCGGCTTCGGGGGAGCTACCGGCCCCCGGCGCGCAGCGCTCCCTCCCGGCTCCCCACACCGTGCCGGCAGGGAAATGCGCAGTCGCGGTTAGTAAAAAAAAAAATTAAAAAAAATTATAATAATCATAGTAATTAAAAATAATTTTAAAAACGCAAGAAAAATCACGACCCTCCTTCACCCCGTTCTAAGCGCGGCGGAACAATCGGGCAGCGCGACCTGACCCACCAAGGGGTCGGTCGGTTGTCAGCTCCCGGACCACCCTCCCCGCTCCCCCGGAGGGGCTGCGGCAGCCCGGCTCGGCCGGGCTCGGCTCAGCTCAGCTCCCTGCCGCCGCCGCTCACATGGGGCACGGAGCTCCTTCCCTCGCGGGACCGCAGCGCCATCCCTATCCCGCGTCCCGGGAAGGGGTGCCGAGCGCCCGGCGGCTTCCAGCCGGGAGCCGGGCTTTCCTCAGCTACCCACCTGGGCGTGCTGGCACTGCGCGGGGACAAGCAGCGACCTTGGCAAACTTTGCCAAATCTTGTCACATATATATACACACACATATATATATATATACACATACCCATATATATATGCATATAAGCAATATATGTAGCAATCATACCCTGCTCGCACATACGCGAGAAGCAAATCCTCCCCTCCCCCCAAAAAAATTAAAATCCGAGCGCAAGAAAAAGGATGGGAACGCCGGAGCCCCAGCAGATGAGAGCGTCCGTCGGCAGGGACCGTCGGTATCCACGTCCGCGGAGCGCAGCCCCGCCAGCAGCCCGGGTGTCACCAGCCCGTGTCAATCCAAACGCCAGAACCGCGGGAAGCGAGTGATGGGAAGCGAAGAGCCCCGCAACTCACCGGCTTCTCCAACGCGCCAGCTGCGAGACGTAGCGAGGCGATTATTGCAGGCGATTCGGAAACAACGAAGGGAAAATGGGTAGATGATAAAAAGAACAACCAGAAAGGACGGGGGAAAAGAATTAAAAAAAAAAAAAATCGACAAAACGCCGGGAGAATGTAGGTCTCTTCCTCCCACCACGGTTTGATAAAGCCCACGGAGCGGCGGAGCAGCCGCCTCCCTGCGCGGTCGGTCGCTGCTCCGGGGCGGCGCGGCGCGCTAGCCGGTACAATAGAAGTTTAGTTGCTTTCCTCCTTTAAAGCGCCGGCGAGGGGCGGGGGAGCGGTGGCGGGGGCGGGGGCAGCACCGCGGGCCCCGCCGCGCTCCCGCCCGCCCCCGGCGGCCGCACGCCCGCCGCCGCGGGAGGGCGCGCTGCGCGGGGCTGCGCGGGCTCGGCTACGCTGCGCGGGCTCGGCTACGCTGCGCGGGCTGCGCGGGCTGCGCGGGCTGCGCGGGGCTGCGCGGGGCTGCGCGGGCTCGGCTACGCTGCGCGGGGCTGCGCGGGCTGCGCGGGCTGCGCGGGGCTGCGCGGGGCTGCGCGGGCTCGGCTACGCTGCGCGGGGCTGCGCGGGGCTGCGCGGCGCTGCGCGGCTGGCCGTGCTGCTGCGCGCCCCCTCCGCACCGCGCCGCGCAGAGATCCGCGGCCGCGCTTTGCCTCCGCCGGCCAGGAGGGACAGAGGGAGCTGCGCCGGGAGAGGCGATGCCGCGCTCCGCCGCCCTTTTTATTTATTTTACTATTTTTTTGTTGTTGCCTTTTACTACGAGCCGCGCACGGAGAGGTCGGAAGTAAACATAGTAAAAAAAAAANAAAAAAAAAAAAAAAAAAAAAAAAAAAAAAAAAAGGATTAAAGGCAGCTCCTCGCCGCTCCCCTCCTCCCGCTGGCGTTCTCGCAGGGGAGTGCGCGGCGGGGAAGGGGCTTCACCGCCCCTCGCTCCCCTCGGTGAGGCTCCGGCACCTTAGGGGAACTGGTCCCGCAGCGCAGAGCCGTGGCCGAGGGGCAGCGGGGGAGGCGCGGGCTCCCGGCACAAAGGAGCGTGTGTAGCTGGGGCACCCCCAGCCCGGTCGCCACTTGATTATCCCGCCTCTGCCGGCGTCTGCAGAGGATTAAAGCGGGAGGGGGCGGAGGCAGAGCCCCACGGGGGTCACCTTGCAGCCACTCTCCCTTTGGCGGTCCCCGCGTGTGCCCCCGCCCCGGCTTGTGCCGCCCCCACTCTGACCACCTCCTCTCGCCCCATGGTGACCTCCCTCCTTTCGGTCATCCCCGAGGGACGCGGAGCTGCTGCGGCTGCAGCGCTCCCTCCTACTCCCGCTCCCCATCGCGGTGGGTCTGGCGGGGACCCCGTCTCCGACGAACCTTCAGCTGCCGACGACCCTTCCGGGTGTCCCCGACCCCCTCCCGCAGCTCCCGCACCTGCTGTTCTCCCGTCCCCCGGGGCAGCCGCCAGCCTCTGACGAGCTGCGCCCCGCGCATCCTGCCAGCACACCCCCACGCTGGCCTCCGCACCCGCGGGAGGTGGAGGGACACCCCGGTGCGCCCCCTGAGCGCTTCCAGGCGGCTCTCCCGTTCCTACCGCGGGCAGCCCGCTGGGGTGTTCTATGCCTGTGTGTGTATTTATTCCCCGCTTCCCAGCATTTTGCTAAGCACGGGCGAGCCCGAGCGCTCGGGGTTGCGATGCGGAGCGCGGGGCGGGCGCAGGGCCCCCGGGCAGGGACCCCCGGCGCGCTGACCCGTCCGCGCCGGGCCGGGCCGGCCCCGCGCTCCCCCGGCGGCCGCGCCGCTTCCGCGGGGCCAGCGCGCCCCCTGCCGGCCGCCCGGCCTGCGGCAGCCGCGACCCCCGGGCCCCGCCGCGCCCCGGGCTGCGCCGCCGCCCTCCAAAAAACAAAACCAAACCCACACAAAGCTAAACAAACCCCCATCATGTTGCTGTTTCCCATCGTGTCTGCTGAAGAGCGTTTCGCCAAGCAGAGTGTATTGCAAGCATCACAGTCTTCACGGAGCAAAGGGTCGCGAGGAACCTGTAACCACCTTCTGTCCCGTGTCCTGTTGATTAAAAAAAGGAGTTTTACACAGAGAGGGTGACAAAACAAGAGCCGTGGCATAGGCATGGTGTAGATGCTTCACCTAGTGACATTTCTAGAATGGGATATCCATACCCTTGCTCAGAAACGGCTTAAAATATGTTGTGCTATTTTTAATATCCCACTCTGTCCATAGCAAACCTTGCTGCTGTAGATAGCATGACTAAAGGCAGGCCAAAAAGGGGCAAGATCCAAATTACTCTAGTTACAACTAGTGTAAAATGCAATATGGGCACCTGTCTATTTAGGAATAGCATCGGTTTTGCCAGATACACATTAAATGTCCTCAAAATTGTAAAAGCCATTAAAGTTTGGAGGGAGCTGGTAATAGGTGAAATATTTTGAAATTATTCCAATACAGATAGGGTTGAAAATCATGATCCTATTCATGGTTGCAGTAGAATCACAGACAGACCAATTAACTGTAATATCACAAAGAGTTATGACTTAAAGAGGAGAGGAATAAGTAACATGAGCAGATGGACTTTTAAAATACCCTGTGTTTACAAGAATGGAAAAAACAGGAAGGGAAGACTGGGAGAAATGTGCTATTGAAACAATACAGTCTTCAGAGGAAACAGTCTTTAAAATATCCTACATGATTTCTCCAGGCTTGTGCAGACCGTGAATTCTCTTTTTGTTGAGGAGCCAACTCTGAGGTGCACCAGCATGGATCTTATGAGGCAGTTTTAGTGTACATGAAAAAAACAAGATATTTTACTCTGATTTCTTATGTTCAGCCCCAGATAAAAAAAGAACAGAGACAAGGTGTGAAATCAGTAAGTATCAATTTCCAGTAAAAAGGCCATTTGGACAAAATACCTGTTATACAGAAAGAATAAATTCACAAGTATAACATTAAGATAACAGCAACAGCAGAGCCAATGTGATTGTTTGGCATGGAAGGGTTTAGTGATCAATAGGAAATGGGAGGGGACTGAGCTGGCACCCCAGGTGGAATGTATGTGTGATGGCAGGGTGGGAACCTGTGAGAAGCAGAAATGAAAGCAAAACGTGAGAGAGAACTAGAGATGATGGGAAAAGCTCTTGCACCCCCCTGTCTGGAAACCCCTGAGACATCATGTGCTGTGTGCCTGTGCCACCTACTGCATGTTCTGTTCTCAGGACACCTGAGATCTGCAATTTCTTTTTCAGAGGACAATAAGCTGTCTAATAGTCATAGGGTCCCATGAACACTGTACTGGGTCCATCTCTGGGGCATCCAACATAAGAAAAAACATGGGCCTGCCAGAGCGAGTCCAGAGGAGGCCATGAAGATCATCAGAGGGCTGGAGCACCTCTGCTGTGAAGAAAGGCTGAAAGAATTTGGGTAGTTCAGCCTGGAGAAGAGAACTTACAGCACCTTCCAGTAACTAACAAGGGCCTACAAGAAAGCAGGAGAGGGACTTTTGACAAGGGGATGTAGTGATAAGATGAGGGAAAACGCCTTTAAACTGAGAGTAGGTCTAGATCAGAGATCAGGAGGAAATTCTTCACTTTGAGTGTGGTGAGACACTGCAACAGGTTGCTCAGAGAAGTTGTAGCTTCTCTGGAAGTGTTCAAGTTCAGATTGGATGGGGCTTTGAAAAACTTAGTCTCATGAAAGGTGTCCCAACCCATGGCAGGGGACTGGAACTAAATTATCATTAAGGTCCCTTCCAACCCAAACCATTCCAGATGTCTATGAACTCATAGCTATCTTCAGAAATTTCTGCTGAAAGTTTCACTGGACCTCTCCACAGCTTTGCAGGTTTCTGGCCCTCCACAAGTGAGAAACAGGAAAGCACTAACTAGATACTAATTAGTCTTGGAAAGTCCTAAGTCCTTGAATGAGTGATATACCCAAACTGTCAGTGCAGTCAGAGACACTAAAATAGGCTAGCAAACTTTCACTGATAGCATCTCTGCAGAGAATCATGTCCCCACTGCTACCCCAAAAGACCCCAGTCTGAAATGCAGAAACATACTACAGCATCAAGGAGAATCAGTTTTGCCTTATTACTATGAAAGCCAGAAAATAAATGAGTTACTTTTTCATTTCTTTTAGCAGCTGTAATTTCTTTAACAATAGGAGGTGAGATATGTGTAGGCAGAAGCTGACAGTGTTTCTGCAAGCTGCACAGCACTGACTAAATTAATAACATCTTCCTACCCCCCTCCTCCAGGCTGAGAGAGACTCATATGCTGTGCTAATGAGTACTTGCTCGGTGGACTCCCCCAGCACAGGGGAGAAATGCAGACATCTGGGAGGGCCCCTGTCCTTGTCTGTTTACTGTGGTGAAAAACAGAGACTGAAATACACCTCCTGTCAAAGATGGACAGGACCCACCACTGCAGTTTCCACCCAGCCAGATCAGTTTAGCAGCTATGGTTCACGAGTCTTCAGAATGACCATAAAGTATGTAGAAGAAATCAGTAGGTTTTATGGCTGATGTGTTATTAGTAAATATGAATAAGAAAATCACAACAGTATAATAAAATAAAATATAATATATAATAAAAGAAATAAAATAAAAAATAATATAAATAAATAAAATAAACCAAAATATTCTAGTTTTAAACCAGAGGTAACATATATCACACATATCACATACTTAAGTCTCATCTGCTGCTGGAAGCCAAGGCTTTTTTACCCTCACCCTGTGCATGTCCATCTTCAGGCAGAGATGTCATGGTGTCAATGAAAGTGGTTTCTAGTGCAATTTATTTATTTGACTCTCCCTCATCCTCTCAGCTATGTGCCCTAGAGTGTTTGCAGCAAACATGGCAGCTTCTTCCTCGGCGTCATGCCAGCCTGTGATCCTCACTATGGGAAAACTCAAGCTGTTTATTACCAACAGGAAAAAGGGAAATGTAGAGAAGGAAACTGATGAAAACTGAATGGGGAGAGCACTGAGTAAAGAAAGTGTTACACTGCTATTAAATTACTCTCCCCAGAACTACATTGAGTACCACGTCCCTCATGGAAATCCATGGAAGCCCCAGAAAAGTAGTTTTTGTCATAATGAGAATTGGGAAGAACTTGAAGTGCTCCTCTGGCTTGGCAAACCAAAGGAGATTCAAAATGATACTTCTTATGATCCAGAGCTAAGACTTTTATTTCTGGTGTTTTTTTTTAATTTTTTTTTTTA